GAACCTAGTATACTGGGCCCCTCCTGCTCATGCTTAAAGATTAAGGTGCTTCCATCTGCCACTGATGTCTTTCTTCACTGGACAGTAATCTAGAACTGTCTTTACTTCTGCTGACCTGAACAAGGAGTTAAAAGGCCCCACTCTATGCCAGCTGTCCCCAACCTTTCTGGCCTGGTGGGGGTGGGGTGGGGGGGGAAGAGAAGGGATAGTTCCCTATGAGTGGCAGGCAGGAGCTTCATGTGGGAGGGCAAGTGGCCATTGCTTGATGAGGGGAGCTTTGCGCTTGAGGGCAAGTGGCTGCCACTGTTGCAAAGGGAGCTTTATGCATGAATGCAAAGCGGCCACCAATTGCACAAGGGGAATATTACCCTCGAGCGCCAGTGGCTACCGCTCGTGCAAGTCGAGCTTTGCATGCACGCACATGCCCACCCGCTGCTCACGTGGCCCAGTTCCAAAGAGGCCACGGCTCAGTAGTGGGCCAAAGCCCCGGGGTTGGAGACAGCTGCTCTATGCTGTCCAGGCCCTACAGCAACTGCCCTCCTCTACCCCTGAACAGAAAACAGAAAGAAAGAAAAAAAATGAAAGAAAAATGCAATAGCCTGACAATTTGTACATCTCTGTGTCCTGCACTGAAGGAAAGGGAAAAACTCTTGATCAGTTTCATATACGCCTTTATTTGGGCTACTCAGAGGGCTGGTGGATGAAGTGAGGCAAGAGTTTTTTTCTAATGGGGAAAGGGAATCACAACCAACCAACTACATAACCACCAATCAATCAAGTCAACCAAGTTAGACTTGAAAATGAATCAGATCAATTCTCCAACACTATTGATGTCCTGGAAGCACAGATGCCCTAGAGCTACTTTCAAATTGGCAGATTCCTTACTGGATGTTACATGTAACAGGAATGGCTGAATAGGGCTTATATCAGCCCTGCGTCCATTAATGTCACTTAAGAAAAATGTAATAATATGTGAAAGAAGCTTGTGAGGCCAGAAGAATAAATCTCATTCGATGCAATAAAAGAGACATATGTCTTCCGGAAGTGACAGTTCTGACCCACCATAAAAATAATCAGAACTTCTCTTTTCTTGATTCTGATCTAATAAAAAAAAGCAAACCTAGTCCAAAATGTGATCTGATGAATAAGATGAATAGCTAAAAGCACTGCAAATGATTCTTTCTTAAAATTAGGATTCCTTGAATGGTAATTAATCACTTGCTGCTATTATTGCAATTAGAGTAGTTTATAATTCTTAAAAATGAAGACTTTTTGTTTACTTTCCTTTAAAAAAAATGTTATTGGGATACAGTGGCCAAAGATAAGTTCTAATAGACAAAAAGTATAAACAAATGGTTAGGAGATGATCACGTCGTAGACTGCAGATTTCTTCAATGCAATGCAATTTCAATGTGGCTTTAAGCCCCCTAGATAGCATGGGCACTAAATGTATTTCTGAGAGCTGAAGTTCATGCAGCTGAATGATGCCCAATCATCTACTTCAGGAAGGAGATGTAACCTTAGAACAGATTAGAGGTGGAAGGGACCTTGGAGGTCTTCTAGTCCAGCCCCATCTCAAGCAGGAGAACCTATACTATTTCAGATAAGTGACTGTCTAGTCTCTGAGGTTTTTAAAAAGAGACTAGACAGTCACTTATCTGAAATAGTGTAGGTTAGGGTTAGGGTTAAATGCAATGCATTTGTGCTGACTTGACCTGGAATTCCCAAAGAGAGGGGCAGCTATAAAAAAAGGCACCCTGCAGTCCAAACCTAGGTAGCCCCCATTTCACATTTGCACAAACTGGAATTTTGTACGAACATGAAGATTTGAAATTTCAGTTTTCACCAAGTATACATTTCTGTTGGCCTGCTCTGGGGTCTGCGACTCTTTGCAACATCCTATCCATCTGGGTTTCATGGCAACTCTTCAAAAGCTAAACTCTTAACAAGTTTACCTATTCTCAAAGAGACTGGAAGCTTTCATTTGACTTTAGCTTGACTCCAATTTATCATAATATCTAATTTATCACATTATTGCCATTGTTAATCTGAAACATCTTCCAAATATTAAGATACAGTGTGATGTAGTGTTTAGGATGTGGACTAGGAGTCAGAAAATCTCAGTTTTCATTTATCTTGGTTCAGAACAGGGTTGAAATCTACTTACCTTCCCAACCGGTTTGGAAGTGCACATGCCACACGTGTGCATGCTTCACTCACTCATGCGTGTCACATATGCGCTTGAATTCTCTGTGCATGCGCAGAGGGTATAAACAGTTTACTTCCTGGTTAAAACTAGGAAGTAACAATGACTGGATGGGTGGGCGGAGCCTTGTGCCGCCATTGCTACCGTTTCTCCGAATCACTGGCCGCTATTGCTACTGGTACCGCGAGCATTTCACCCCTGGTTCAGAAGCTCCCTGATTGACTTTGGGCTAATCACTCTCCCTCAGTCCAACTTACCTCACAGTGTTATTCATGTGTGTGTGTGGGGGGGGGGAGGGAGAAACTCCTGAATGAATAGAATACAGATTTCATAAAAAAAAACAAATATAAAGACTTTATCTCTCTCTCTCCATGTACTTCTGATACAATTAATCCTCTCTAGTTCATTGCACTATCATGCAGGCTTACTATCTTATTATCCTGATGACTGTTTGGGTATTTTTCCCAAACACACATCAGGAATCTGGAGTGGCGTGGTGGCCTAGAGGTGGAGTTCTCACCTCACAATCAGGAGGCTGCGAGTTCAATGCTAGGTAGAGGCAGATATTTCTCTCTTTGGGCACACTGAGAATATATCTGCTGAACAAAATTCTGCATTGGCGACAGGAAGGGCACCTGGCCATTAAAACACTCTGATAGGTCCACTCAGTTGCCCAGACTCCACCCTGCAAGGGATTATGGGGTTGTTAAAAGAAGATGATGATGATGATGATGCATCAGGAATCTGCCTTCACATAACTTAAATTATGTCAGGCATTTGAAGATGACAACCAAATTTTGATTTCTTGTGTATAATGCAAGGGTGCCCTTGAAAGGGTGAGTGAGTGTGTAAAAAAAGTGACTTAACTGCCAGATCTAATCCTCAGTCCTTGTTTACATTAAGATGGCACGTGCAATGCATGTAGAAAAGGGAAAGAATTTTGGCCGAAAGGTCATCTTGCCTTTTTGACCACTCTATAGTTACCCCCGATTTGATGCCATGCATGTTGAAGAGTTATAAAAGAACTTATGGAGGAATTCAAGAAGAACAAAACAGAAGATACCTATAAATATCTATGTCTTGCCCTAGAAGATCAGAACTATGAGAATTATATGAGAGATTCTTGTAATAAACACTTTCCCTTAAACTGACAACTCCATAATGGAGTTCTCACTTTCAGCTTGGGCCTGGAAAGGTGAAAATTGTTAAAATTTGTTCAATAGCCCGCATAGTTATTTCCAGGAACTGATAACTCCTATCTTTTGATATGTCTAATAAATAGATTATTGTCAGCCTCTTCCTTTGAGTATGTCTGCATTTTACAGATGCTTTGTGGGGCAACAAATATCATACAGACAATACCCCTGTGCTAAAGGTAATTAAATAGAGAACAAATCTGACAATAGGTGGCACTGGAAAGCCTTTTATTGCAGAGTTTTGCTAGTGATTCCCAAATCTGAAAGGTTCCTTTCAGAATACTAATCAAACTGAAAACCTCCATGGGAGCATTTGGAACAGAAAAGTTGTTGGAGATAAATGAGTTAAGACTTGGAACAGCTCCAAATCCTCCCTCCTTGGGCAATTATTTTTCTTTTTTTATAAAGAAGCATGCATTATATTTTAATATGTAAGGAAACGTGTTGCTGTTTCTTATTCTAAGTGAGTGGGTTTGTTATAAATCAAGATTATTGCAAGATGGGCAACATGGAGGGTTGGTTCCCCACAGCCTTTTGCCTGGTTGCAGTTCAGATTTTGACAGACAACTATTCCTTGGCAGAGAAAGGCTTTGCTGAATTGAGTCTCAGAAGGGAAAAAGTGAAAAAGTAACATAACAGAGAGAAATGAGGGAGATTCAAAAAGAAGAAAAGCATATCAGGAAAAAAAAAAGATTGTAGGGCGAGTTACCAACTTTTGTTTGCTTCATGCCTTCCATATTTAAGGAAATGTGACTTTTGACAAAGAAAAGATTTCCTTGGCTAGCTTGAGTGCAGTTTTGATTGCTATTCTTATTGTAACTACTCCCCTGGTGAAGAGATTTTTCCTTTGAAATATATCAGGATTGAGACTTTGGGATAAACATGAAAAGAGTGCCAATATGATGTCTGTTATATAAAATCATCTAAAACTTAGATTTACATCTTTTAAATGTTTTTATTAAATTCAATTATCAACTGCCTGAAGTTGTGGGAAATGATGGCATATAAAAATGTTTTAAATAAAAACCAGCAGATCTATCTGAACTGAGACAAAATAGCAGAATCACATGCCAGACTTTGTTGGCAAATGATGTTTGGATGATGAACCCATACAGTAACAGAATCTCAGAGATGTAAGGGATCAGGCAGCCCAATAACTTAAAGGGAAGCCCATCACTTCTCAAGATGATTGATCCTAATGTCAAATTGCTCCTATTTTTAGGAATGAATCTGGGTACTGGAAAGCCATAAATACTATACACTGTTTTTACCTTAAGAGTAACATGGTGAATACCAATTAAATCTAGGCATTTGAATACATATGAAGAATGTTGAGTTGGTAAGAAATTTTAAGTACCGCAAAAAGATGAAGCCACCTAGGACTCAAATCCTGTGTTATAAGCCTGTGAATGGTAGATCCCTGAGTTAGTGTCATAAGAGCCATAGAGCCCTTCTCTGAATTTGGAAGGGAATCTCCGATCTTGGAGATGAAACAGATATCAGACTCCCCTTCTGAATCTTTACTACACTTCAGGGAAGAACTTTCTGACTGTAGAAAAGCTCCAAAGATGGCGGACAGAATGAACCTGAGGAGTCAATCAGTATAAAGGCCTTCAGGTCCTTTATTTGAGGGTCAAATTGGCGGCCCACGGGCCAGATGTGTCACACTCAGGCCCACCCCAGCTCCGCAAAGGCAAAAAATATTGCGACACATCACGTGACATCACGTGACACAATCAAGTTTGACACCTGTGCTTTAGATCAACACTATAATAAGAACAAACACAAATTAAAACAATACATTAGGAAAGACAATGAACCCTGCATCATCTTATTACTGTCCCATTGCTGACAGGGCATTTGGAATCAGCAAAGCATTCTATTGTCAGACACTCTTAGTAAAAATACATTATTTAAAAAAAAACACTTCAAGCTTTGAAAATAGCATCTTTTTCTACATCCTTACTAACTCTTCTGTTCTCTTTTAAAGGCTTTCAGTCATAATTTGTTTTTAATCTCAAACTAACCAAAAGAGCCCCACAGATTCTGAGAATACACGTGAGCAAAATTTGAAAGGGCGTAGTTTTTCTGTTCCCAATAAAAATTATCCCAACATGAATGATAAAGAATTACAATATGAAATAGCACTTAAAGACATATTTTCACCAGTTGGTTTCTTTTTCGGTGTTTTTAAATACACAAAACACAATATTTCGTTAATGAAAACAACTGAGTCTATTAAATATTCAAAATTTTCCTTTTTTAGTTTAATGTATTTTACTGGATGTTTTGACAATGTGCAAGTGATTCTAGAGCAGGGGTGTCAAACTGGTGGTCCATGGGCCAATGCGTCATGTGCAGGCCATGTCCACCCCAGCTTCATGAAGGGGGAAAACATCACAAAACGTCACGCAATGGCAACGTGATGCAGTGAGTTTGACACCTGTGTTCTAGAGGGTCTAAATGAAAGAAATATTTCCAAGATATGCATTGTTCTTACTTCAGAAAAGTAAACAATACTGTCATTAATATGTAAATGAAAGCAGTGACTCTTCTACCTCTTTGCTTTACCCAAACCCATCCTTCTTTTCCCACCTTATTCCTTGAACTCCTGGTTTTCAAAATCTCTGTTATTTGAACTATATTTGACATGCAAGGCATTCATGACCTTTGTAGATTAGGTCAAAGAAAAAGATGAATAGTTGATGGCATCTTAAAAGTGAATTATCAGAAATATTCTGATAGTATGGTTGTCAGAGAATACAGGCCCAGGATTAATTTAATATTGTAGAGAGAAAATTCTGCAGTCTCCAGTGAAGCCAGTATTTCTCCCTTCTACCCATGCATTTCTTCTTGGTTAGAAATGAGCTTAACAAAACGGTAGGATGTAGATGAAAGATTTTTTTCCACAGAGTTTGGATATTGAGAAATTCCTCTTCATCTTCTTCCACATGTGTGACATGGCAGAGTCAACTGTTATTACAGGAAACGTCATTCAACAATGGAACACAAGAACTTCCAATCCATCTTTGCTTCGTCATTCACATACATTGTGAATACAATCCCATGAAAAACCTGCTGGTTTAAGAGAAGACACAATAGATAACAGTATGGGGTGCAGAGTGCTGCTCTATGTTCTGTCCACTTGCTGTTGGTTTCTCGAACACCGGGATCCACACGTTCCTCTTGGGTAGAACTTTGGCCAACCAAAGACTTCGACAGATGGGCAGGATAGTAGAATTTGAGGTATCACATGGCGGGTTCTGATTCCTAGAAAGGAGAAACAAAACCCAATTACAGATATATGACTGAAAGTAATTCTCAATAATTTTCACGTTTTTGTTTTAATGGTCCCGTTTTCCAGAGTCTCTTCCTAGATCATATGTTTATTAATAAGAGGTGTGATACAGGCATTCTGAACTATAATTTAGCACCTCTTTACAGCTTTAGTTCTGTTTTATCTCCATTATATATGCTAATGAATCCCACATTAACATCCAGTTATTAATTTTTCCCATTTAAACATTCACACCCGAAAATATTCTTTTTATCCTGGCTTATACATGGAATATAAAATAATCTCCTGGGAATTTATTTGTGACCCCTAATGTCTTCCCAGTTTCTGTATTTATGAGACGATATTACAGTATTGTTGTCATGATCTTCACCATCATTTCCACCAACCAATTATTTATTCTTTATACAGTAGATTTACTTTAATTTAATATAATTTTGTGATTGTCTAGGAATTGACATTCACCAATTAATTTAATTGACAAATGAACTAAAAGAAATGCAAACATATGTTTTTTTGCCCTATACCGGTCACTATCTAAGTTTTTGGTGACATGAGCCTCTGCTATATTGCTAAAAGCTGTGAAAATGTGATGAATGAATGAATGAATGAATGAATGAATGAATGAATGAATGAATAGCTCTCTGTCTGATGTAAGTTATTCCATGCTATGAGGCTGCCTGAATTGTTTTCAAATATCACTTTTGGATTGCTCTCTTAAATAAGGAGGTTAATCATAATTTAATAAAGCATTTCACTTACAAACTTTCTCAAGTGAAGCAGAATTTATGGAAATTTTTAATCAGAGTTAAGGAGAAGAGACCAACAGTTCCCTCTAGGACGACCAATTTCATATATCTCTATCTATGGGGTCAGGCATGTCAAGTAGCAAACAAACAAGCTTCAGAGTTTGTAATAAAAACCTTGTATAAGAAAGAGGCTTATATAAAAAAGCTTATGAAAAATGGAACTACTCCACAGATGCTATTCACCGGTTGTGATTTGTAGCAAATCTAAAAAAAAAAAAAAACACCAAATCATAGAGGAAATGAAACAACAAGAACAAAAAGTGGAAAAATAAAAATCCATTTTTTTAACGTTCAAAGTTGAAACTACTCTTTGTTACGGATGGCCCATTAAAAATAAATAAATATATACAAATCCCATCTCTGCTTCAGGGAACTACTCAGAATACACAGAAGAATAAAGAAAACCCTGATGACCATCATTCATTTTTAATGATGGGTTATTTGCAAAAGTTTCACACCCCTCAAGTGTGTTTATTGCTAGGCCTGCTTAGAAACATGAAAGGAAACAACTATAAATCAATCTGATGAAATAGTTCAATTTGTAGCTAAACCACATATTAGCTGTTTTATTGTTTGCAAAAAAAAAACCTTTAATACTTTTCTTCCTTTGCACCCACTTTTTCTAAGAAGATCATTAAAGGCAAAAATGTTGTTTTGCTTAAAAGCAACATGACATACTTTCCAGCAGTTGATCTCTGGCACAGAGATTTTGTGATCAGTTTCAATTTCATGCCTTGGAAATTTTCAAAAACCACAGAGCAGAGGAGAACTTTTCAATGAAATGAATCATAAATACGTATCTTTAATTGAGTTTTAAATAAGGTTCTCTTTCTGGGTAGTATGCAACAGATATATCGGAAAAATTTATATCTGTATTCTCCGAATGTTTCAAGAGCATTCAAGCATGCTCGTTTCTATATTTTTATTTAAGAGATACTTGCCCAGAAGAATCATGTGAATTTAACATCTTTATTTTTTTTTAAATTTATTTTGATTTATATGCTGCTTTTCTCCGAGTCTCAGGGCGGCTTACAAGGCGTTAAGCAATAGCCTTCATATTTTTGTATATTTTATACAAAGTCAGCTTATTGTCCCCACAAACCGGGTCCTCATTTTACCTACCTTAGAAAGGATGGAAGGCTGAGCCTGGTGAGAATTGAACTCGCAATAATTGCAGGCAGCTGGAAGCTAAATACTACCTTTAACAGTAGCATTAGTCTGCTGCGCCACTCAGGTTCCTCTGAGTGGTGCAGCAGACTAATAAGGTACCTGTGCATATGACTGCCATGATTTGCACAGACAACATATTGGAAATGATACAGTTGTGCTGATTCACATTGATATATTTTACCATAAGTCTTGCTTCTTCTTAATCCGGGAATCCCCCACGCCCCACGCCACCTCCAAATGTCTCCAACAGATACTCTGAGATTAGTTGGAGAACCCTGCTTATATTTCCACTAGTAAGTTTGGCTCACACTGTGGTAGTCAGCAGTAGGATCTTCTCATTAACGTATGGAAATTTCTCCCCAAGCCTGCTTGCCTGACTCCTCACTGTCTTTTCCCAGAAAAGAACTCAAGTCCTTTTCAATCCATTGATGAGATGAAAATAACTACTCCAGGCCAAGGCAGACTTTAAGTTTTCCTGTTACTTATTTCATTTTCCTCTGCTTAAAATGAACTCAATTTTAACATTTCTATTTATTGTTTTTAAGCATGCTGGTTTAATTTCAGGCCCCTCCCTCCACTTTCTGGGTAAACTACTGTGGCTCCTTTGGGAAATACATTAGTAAGCCTTAACAATCTACCCCTCCCTTTATTAAGCCATCAATATGACCCATTAAACATGACTGATGATGTTAATAACAAAACTCTTTCCATCTTCAGAATGAGAAGCCCTTCCCTACTAAAACCAATTTAAAATGTGCTTATTCACTATAGGACTTTATATCTGAGTCTCCTTCCCAGCTTTTGTGGTATGTCTTTTGACAGCAGATACAGTGTCTCTAATATTTGTTTTCCTTCTGTTCAATCATGTCTCATTTTCTGAGATTTCCTGGACAAATCTCTGCAGTTTTCTTGACATGGTTTTTCAGAAGTAGCTTGCCATTACTTCCTTCCTAGGGCTGAGAGAGAATGACTGGACCAAGGTCACCCATCTGTCTTTATACCTATATCTCTATATCTATATCACAAACATATATCACACGAAATACTCAGCTAATGTTGAAACTGATACAGGAACAAAACAGTCAAACTATCCTTGTGCTATTGAAGGGGCTTCCCTGATGTGAAGCCGAATGTGTCATTGCTCTTTCTCTTCAGGCAAATGGCTTGAATCAAAGTCAAAACAGAGGGCTACCCAAAGCTGGATGTAAACTAGACTCTTGAGAAATTCCTTCTGAATCTTGGACCTTTTGAAATGTGAAGGATATTTCCCAAAAGAAAGCTAATGGTCTGGGGAACAGACCTAAGCTGGCCACAGGAATGAGAGTTACAGGCTGGTCAAGCAGCTGGTTATGTTCAAAAGTTCCACTTTTCCCCACGATGGTCTCATTTTTTATTCAAAAGCTGTCACTCAGCCATTACTGTTATCCTGTTGCTTTTGCATTTCTGTGATGAATGTGGTCAAAAGGTTGCTACCGACTGTGACATTGATACGGTGAGGTCAAGTACCACTTGCATAAAAATCTATCTTTCAAGGCTGAAATGGTGGCAAATGATTTACTACATCTGCTAGTTTTTTTTTTAACATGGGCTTCCAGAAAGCATATCCCTCAAAAACAGCTGCTGATAGCAGTACAGTCTTAAGTCTCCCTTCCCCACAATGGCAGGGATTTTATTTGCATGAGATCTTGTGCAAAGCTACAACTGCCTCGTGTGGAACCAGCACAACAATTGTATCTGGCTTTTAACAGCAAGGTGACCTCTGTTTTTTAATCCCTGTGACACTGTCAATAAAACTGAAGCAGAACAGAAAGATCATGTTATCAGGGTTGTGGGACTATATGCAGAGGTGATTCTGACCTTATTTTGTTAAACCCTGCCCAGGTTTTCCAGGCTCCCAGCAAATAACATCTTGATTAAATTCTGAATAACTGAATTTTCAGGTGTTGACTCAGGTTCCACCATTATTATGAATAAGATCCAGAAGCAACTCTTAGCTTGCATCATTGGGATTCTTTGCAGAGATTGAATACCAATTGTATTTTGGATTTGCTAAAAGGTTGAGGTTGCCCCCAAATGTGACAAATGATATTCTAAAACAAACAAACAAACAAACAAACAAACAAACAAACAAACAAACAAACCCAGCTAGTGAAACACTCTGAGATGGCTCTTAAACAGCCTAGCAAGACCACATGAGTTGGTGAAAGGACTGAAGAAGAACATTGATAGTCCCAAGGGTGCTTTTCCAAAAGGCAACTGGATTTTCTTGGGATTTTCCTTGAAGATATTTCACTTCTAATCCAAGAAACTTCTTCAGTTCAAAACTGAAGAAGCTTCTTGGATGAGGAGCAAAATATCTTCAAATTAAAAACCAAGAAAACCCAATTGCCTTTTGGAAAAGCACCCTTGGACAACCATGGCCTGGATGACTGAAACTTTCGATAGATAAGAACACGGATACTTGTGCAACAACAACTATAAAAGAAGTAGGAAGCAGATGTTCAACAAGAAATGTCAAAGAGGAGTTTCCTACCCATAGCAATGCAGCTGAACCAAACAGGCATACAGATCTATGCTTTCTGAAAGGAGACTTCAAGGGATGGGGAGTATATTAAAAGGAGAAAGCAGGATTGCCATTCAGTTATAAAGTAAAGTAAGTAATAAAAATTATCCTTGATAATATCAAATAACATTGTGATATTCTTTCAGTACCTCTCATTCAACAGAAAAAGAATAGGAAATTTGGGGAGAAGTAGTTCCTTGTCAAGCAGCTAATTATTTATTATTTGTTTTCCCAAAGCCTGATTTTCAACATTTGTTAGTCTGGATTTTTGAGTTCCTTTTAAGGATGAAATGTATCTACCATGTGGTAGAAAAAAAGAAGGGACATTTTAAAAGATTTTTAAAATACTTCCCCACAAATTTAATTCCTTTCCCACTTCACTGACAGCAAATCGGGACATATGATAGCAGTGTTCCAATATCTCAGGAATTGC